AGCTGGTTCAGATCAGTGGTCGAGGTGTATGCAGATTCATTGGAAAGGTCTTGTTTTAGTTCCTTATATGTTAAACTGTATGTTGTATAACATTTTTTATAGCTAGATTGTAAATGTTTTATAATATTCATGCAAAAGTAGCTGCAGATATTCAAAGAAATATTTTTTCACAGGTATTACAACAGTCAAATCAGAATGTAGTCGGTCATGGTTCCTTTCTTCCTGATGATTTAGTTAATGAAGAAGAATTTTTTGTTTACAAACGAAGAAGAATAGATGCCATTGCAGGTGATGGTAAGTGAAGATTTATATATATTGTTCATCAAATATATATTTGCAGTTCAGTTATCTTTGCAGATTTATTTTTTGAATAATCATTAAATAAGGAATCAATCTAAGCTTGGTCTTGCCAGAATTTACATGGTAGAGAGTTGTTAGCCTTTGTCTCCAAAAGTGTGGATGTTGATTATATATCACCAGTTTCAAGGGAATTTTGATAGAACACTACCAGTATAATTATTTGGAAAGCAATTATGTATGATATACAAGAGTTACTTATCGCACTATCTCTAAACATGTAATAATTTTGTACCATATTGCTTTAAATACTGATGTCACTTCTTTCTCTTAACAGACAAATTCAACCGCATGTCAGATGAATTAATCTTAGCAGTATTTCGATGGCTCCCAAAGTTTATGTTGGCAAGATGTGCACAGGTGTGCCGCCGATGGAAAAGGCTTGCTTTTGATGAATCTCTCTGGCGAAGACTTGATCTTGGTGGAAAGACCCTCAATCCTGGGGTGGTTGGCAGAGTCATTCTCAGAGGATCAAGTATACTTAGACTAGCAAAAGCAGAGGTAAATAAACTTGTCTACTTGTAATTTCTTGCTTTGAATATCAGTTGCGCAATATTTTTGTAATATATTTATGGGAATGAACAATAATTGTATATTTTTTCTTTTACACAGGTGGATGGTCCAATTTTTTCACCACAGCTCCAATATCTTCCTAGTCTACCTCCAATAAGGAGTAAGCTACAATACTTAGATCTTAGTATGGCTGCAATAGAACCCCCTGGTGAGTTAGATAATTATATATTTTTTTCTAAATATTGAATATATTGATGTATCTTTGTGAATGTTACTTACAGAAATCGTGAAGAGAAGGAATTTTGAAGTATGATTTTAAGATGAAAATGCCTTAATATTTGTTATTAATTTTATCTTTCAGCGCTTGAAGAGTTGTTGAGCGTTTGTTTTGATCTGAAGAAATTAAGCCTGGAGCATTGCACTCTCAACCAGACAATTTGCACACACATCGCCAACAACCATAACTTAGATACGCTTAATATGGCCATGTGCTATGGCTTGAACCACTCCTGTATTGTTAATATACTCACTAACTGTAAAAAGTAGGTTTTCATTAGTTTAAGCATGAAATGAATGATATTGAGAAAATATATGTATACATTTGTGTGACTTTATTTCCTTTTGTGAGTCTGTTTTAACAGTAAACAATTTTTTCCAGATTGGTAAGTTTGAATCTAGCTTGGACTGGATTGTCTTCAGAGGATCTACGGGTAATATGCCGTCGCTTCCCAAAATCACTTGAACGGTTGAATATTTCTGGTTGCAGAAACACATTATCTGATACACGTAAGTATTTTAAAATAGTATGTTGATATATGCACATTTTGCTGTGTTGATTCTAGTTAAACATTATTAAAGTAAAATACTTTTTGTACTAGTTGGATTTTTTATATTTTGAATTAAGAAACATGAATATAGGAAATTTCACGTGTTCATTATATCTGTCATGTGCTAAAAGAGTTCCTTCATTGCAATAATTTTGTTTGGATTGCAGATGTAAGATTGTTGGCAGAACAGTCACCTGGCTTGGTAGAATTAGATGTGAGTGATTGCACTCAGCTGACTGCTGCTTCTGTATCTACAATAATTAGTGAACTGCGTCACACAGAATACTTAGCCTTCTCACGTTGCTACACCATACAGCCAGATGCTTACCTGTAAGTTGTTTTGTAATGTATGAATTTAGACAAAATTGGGTAGGTTTAATGCACTCTTTTATAAAGGCTCAACTGTAAAGAAAATTACCACTCACCTCCAAGATATGCAAGTATAGACATCAAATTGAATAACTGCTTCCTGATTACAAGCTACAAAATATGATCATGGTGATCAAATACATTAGGTTATTTCTTCAATGTGTAGGTAAGGTGAAAGTGTTCAATTTTCAGGGATCAAAGCATGTTCATTGACAACCTTTAAGATAAGGATGATATTTTCAGCAATAGCAGAGATCCTGAAATAAAAGGTCCATATAAGATACAAGATAGATTTTGGTCAGTTAATTAACCAATAAGAAATAATCTTAGGTTGAAGTTTTAAGAAAATTTCAATGATTGCATGTTATACAAATATATTTTGTACAGGATTATATTGAAGGTAAATCTGTTGATTTTGATTACCTTCCAGACATGATTTTTTAAAAGCCATATTTGTAGATGTTATTCAGATGTACTGTGTTTAGTTGTCTTGTTTTTGTGTTTTTAAGTAGGAAACCTTTCCCTTGCTGTAGATAAAATGGCTACATCTTAAGTGATGCCACTGCCACAGGCAATAATGATAATAATAATAAAAAGAAAATCCTGGGTGATGTCTTTTTTTGAAGGTAAAAAAAAGGAATTTATTATTGTCAACAGTGTTAACCTTCTGGTTTTCATTATTTTCAGGGAGCTGAAGTCCATGCCACATCTACTCTACTTGGATCTCTATGGCATACTGAATGAGAGTGCGCTCAGTACCCTGCGACAAAGCCTGCCACACATACAAATTAACAAATATCTATTTTCTTCTGTGGCTCGGCCTACAGTGGGTATACGCAGGACGTCTGTTTGGGGGCTGAGAGTCAGAGATTAAGTTCATCCATGCAAGGATACAAAACCTTGTGTATGACAAGTCAGCTACAAGCATTTTCATGGACTTCCCAAAGACCTAACAAGTAGTTACGTAAGCACAAGTGCCTTATTTATTAATCCAAGATATTTGATAAATGTGATCTGAGTGAAACAGACACCAAGGCTTTTAACAAATATTTGCAATAAAACCTGCAGTAGAAAAAGACACTTGGGAGGTAAGTATGAAAAAAAAATCTGAAATGCTCTATTGTAAATATCCGGCTAGTGTATTCCAGTGCAACGTGAATAAAACAAAACATGTGATGTATGAAGTGTGTGAATGTAAAAGAATGACAATGTTTTATACAGTGATGTGAATTATTCATTTAGAGAGGAACTTCTAGAAGTGTATGTATGTTATATTTTCATGTGGTGGTATTAAGGGATGCACATATCCCCTGTGCTTTACAATGCAAGGTTAATAATTTCTTTTAAAGCACTGCCAACAAATACGTCATACTGTACTTTTTGCGCTGATAAGTACCATACAGAAAGTTGTGAAAATTCTTAGCTATTTGGAGTGATGCTACAAAAAGAATAATGCCTGAATGGTCAAGCAATTGAATGTTTCATATTTATTTTTTTTCTCTATTGTTCCAGAAGAATATCTGACATTAAGGTATCCAAACCAGATATATATGTCACCATTTGTTGATAAATTTGAAGGAATGATTTCATGGTGTCATAGTTCATTGTTGAATGCTATTAAGTTTTTTTGTTCTTTATTGTTAATTACATCTTAGTGGTAACATTCACCCACAGAGTTGTTGCTCAATGTAGATTAATCAGTATGTGCCTGAGAAAACAAAGGACACTACAAAGAGATACCCATAAACTGTGTTCTGCATTCTCATCTGTGGTTCTTAGAATTCTTGTAGGTTTATACATACCCTCTTTAAAACTGAATTATTGTTTTCCATCTGTTATGAACCTTACTTTCTATAATATTATGAGCAGCATTGTTTATTATTGCAGTGATTAAATATAAATGAATTGTCCATAGTCATTAATATTTGATTTTTATAGGCTTTATCACGAGAAGATTGACAAGGGTAAAGATGTCATTACATGATTTATTACAATTTTCTTTTGAAATGATTGTGATCAAGTGGAGGACACTATGTATTGAAAAAGATAGCACCAAGACATTTGTTCAGGATAGCAATAAGGGATGTATTATAGGAAACAAAATTTATATCATAACAAAATTATATCAGTAGATAGTAGAATTCCTGCATTATAATTTTATGTAGTGAAAATTTTGTTAGTTGTATAAACCATCTTATCTGTGATAGAATTCTTTTATGCCACAGTTCCATGTTATCATTATAAGAGTTACTTGCTCTATTGTAAGGGACAAACTTGGTGAAGAAGCATTAAGTATGGATTTGTTTATTTTAATTTACAAAGTAAATATAATTTATAATGATTACTTAAAAAACAGCCAATGCATTGTTTATTTAGCTCAATTTTTATTACATCTCACCAAGCATTACTATTTTTGTTAATAAATTTGATCTTTTGTTTCTAATTATTTTGTGCATGTTTTTCATGCAGCTTCACTGAGAATGAACATTTGTAGAGTTTACATTTAGTTTGGATTTTTGTTAGAATTTCCGTGAATTTCATTGTTAAAACTAAATTTATAAGATTGGTTAATCAATACTTGGAAATGATAAATAATTGTATGATGTAAATGGGTAGTAAATACTAGATTAAAAGTGTGTTTATAATTTTAGTTTTATTACTGGACATCCATGCAAAATCCCACTCCTCATAGTCTTTTTCACTACTACACCTTTCTATAGTGCTACATGTCTTAACATTTATTTTGCTTGTGTAATCATGAAACATTAACCATGTCACTAATTTGTATTTGCTGTTGATGTTCACACAGTTGAACTATATTTTGTTTGGAACAAAAAAAAAGAAAATACATTGTGCATAGGTGACACAAGTTCTATAATTGCATTATATATATATAACATTTATAGAAATGCAGGGTCAATGAAATCATAGATCTTTATATTTGATTATTATTATTTAGCAGTAGGGCCACAACAAATCATAACAACATGGCATACCTACATGGTAAGGCCACACTAATATATACACACATTAGATACATAGATCAGTTCATGCATTGCAGATAGGATACACTGGATTCTTCTCTTCCTATATATTTGTGCAGTTAATTATTCCTTATAGTTACAATTTCTGCATACAGGTATCTTTGCAGTTTATACTCAATAAAGTCCATTGTAGAGGAGTATACAAATTTGTACAACATAACCTCAATAGCGCCATAAAGTATGAAATAATTGGTCACATAATTTCTAATTAAGATTAACCATCTCAACTCTCTGAATATGTTCTAATATCCTTGAGGACAATCCATGCTCTATTGTTATGTAATAGACATTTGCATCGATAGGTATTATGTACTTATACCTGATTACTAGACAGTTCCAATAAATATATATGCAGTTTATTAAACTACCTTAGCCATGCATTTTTACTTTGTTACTGAAATTCAAGTACAGTGAAATATTTTACTAGATATATTCATATTCACTTAATGTTTATCAGAATGTGAACTTATTTTACATTTTAAGCTATTGGTAAATTATTACATTTTTTGCATATATACCTAAAAGATCCCAGATTTCAGTTAAGTAAATAAGGTTTTAAATTAAGTACAACATAACTTTGCATATGTATATTGACATGGTGCTAACCCTTTTGGCTATGCATAGTAGCATTGTATTCATGTATGGAAATTCTGCTCACAAAAAGGACTGGTATGAACAAGGAAATCAGCCATTGTGCAAAAGAATGACACAAAAATTCAAACCAATATATTAAAACAAAAATCAGATTGAAAGTTTACTACACTCTGCATCTTTTCATAGTAACATTTTGAAGTACAGGAAAGCCTAAAATCAGGTATTTCTGAGTCCAAATTCTTACATTTTTATGATGGACAAATGCAAAATAATTATTATTTTAGTGTATCTATATTCATTTATGGCACTATTATTATGAGAAAAGTATAACATTGATTATCATACAATTAGTGACACTCAATAGCAGTTATTGCTTTAACCTTGTGGCACTTCACTAAGTGAAAAGAGACTAGTTATTTCCTAATCTTTTCTTTACCATACTTAAAATATCAATATATACACATATATTTCAACATTCACAGGGTAATGTGCTGGGTGACAACTCTATAGGAATACATTTCAGAATTTCATGCGTGTGTTGTACAAGAACACCAACTAACATTACAGTGATGCCAGTATTAAAAAAATAAGCCCATTTTTCTAGGAACTAACACTATAAGAAGGACTTTAAAATGCCAAGAAGTTTGTGTCATGTACTGATTGAATGACTATTTTGCAATATATTTCTAGTAAAATTTATTTGTGCCTAATATGCTACGTATCTTACAATTCATATTTCATTCAGCATCTTTTCTCATTCTAACTTAAACAGAACATAAACAAGAATGAACTTTATTAGCTTAATTTTCAGATCTTTTATTAAATTAACTTATATTACTGAACACTTAGATATAAGGCCTCAATCGATGGACTTAGTCTTTTGTGAAGGTATATTATAAGACACTTTATTCTGAATTTAGAAAGAGGGAAAAGGGGGAAACAATTGAAAGAGAGAAAAGACAGAAAAACAATCCCATTCATGTCAAGCACAGCAAATACCTACTGTGGGTTTTGGTTAGCATTTGTGCCCATTCCTCAAATATTTTAAAGGTTCATGCACAAACTTGCTTTAAAAAATTATTCTATACTACATTTTCAAACTTTACAAAATGGATTCTACTTGAATTTTATTTTCGGAAATAAATAACCCTGGAATGTAACAGTGTCAAATGGTTAATATTATTGCTACTTATATTCAACATTTGACTTCTAAATTCTATGTATTAGCATATCATGCAGATTAACAGTCAATAATATATATATAGTATATACTGTATATATTTAGTTCTTTTAATCCATCACATGTGCATATTGGCAAAGTACCTATCTAATCCTAGCTTAAATTCACTCACACTCTTTGCAAACTGCCATTCTATGTTATCACAAATACAGCTTTCATAACAAGTTAAGATAATTGTTAGAGTAAGTACTTCACTTTGCAAAATGAATACATGCTTAACTGAACAAGTGCACGTACTCATTTCATCATTCTTCAATTTTAAATACAATCCTGTTTAACAAGATACTAAAGTAATATGCAATTATCATCAGTGATACATCTTTTTCCTATCAAATGGATAAGAGTATAAGCAAGCTTATTTTCAGTTACTAACATTAGCCTAACTAGTTTATTAAATCTTGCTGTCCTATCTTTACTCCAGTTATTTTGAAACTCTTTCCAAGACATACTTTTTTACGTGAAAAGTATTCATTGCAAGATTCTTTTACCTAATTCCATCTGGATTAAACCAAGGTCTGTATCTAAATCAAGAAAATAAGGCAAGAGATACTTTGTACATTAGATCAGAAAAAAAACTCAGAGCACGAGAGCATATAGATAAAAAATACCCAAATCAAAAATATGAAAAAAAATTGGCATTTTATTGTGTGTTTATTCAGCTTCCATAGATTCTAGCATCTTTAAGCACAATCCAGTATAAAAAAAATGAGGCTTAACTCATTGGCACCAGGCACATGTATTATTCACCATAATTTTGTTTAGTGAATTTTGTTTACATATTGATAGCTCCGCAAGTGCTCAGATACCACGAAATCAAATAGTAGGCCCTATATGACCTTAACTAATTTCCCCATTCCTTGAATTTTTAGGATTTTTTTTCTAATGCTATTAATATCAATACTTAATATTATCATTGACAGTGTGAATATTGTAATGTTAAAAATACTAACAGCAATAAGAAAAAAAAAGTACCTTTCCCAATATCAAGAAAAATGATAAACAAAAGAGATGAGTAGGATTAGTAATTTGGCTTCTTGGTGACTAAGCTCTTGTGGAGCCATCTACGTTTAGACAAAATCAGTAAAATCGTGGTAGACATGGCATGGCAACAATGGGTTAAATTCAAAAGGCTAATACTTAAGTCAGGGTCTGGAAGGTAATCCTTAGGTTTTATAGAGCAACAATCTAGTGGTGTTATTTTGTTTATCTTGCCATTAGTATTAACTTCATAAATTTATCTCATACAGCATAAGTTTCCGATCAATCTTGTAAATATTTAGCAAAATGTAAAAAGTAATATTTTCTCACTCAATATAGCAAAACTGAAGGACAAAATAACGTAAAAAATACTCATTCACACATTTTAAAAGCTAACATTATCATTTCATTTAATGGAATAAGTCTCTCTCTTTTTAAAGCTTAACGTCATAAAATATGATAAAGGATGGATTAACTTTCCATTACCTTTGAGATTTTAATAGCATGCTAACAATATTAATAAAAGTTAACAAGAAATACATATTACCATGCTATTTCTAGGTCAATTAATGGTTACATTTTAATCATTACCAACAAAGTTTTCATACTCTCTCAACAAATTAACTTATCTTAATACCCTTGATGAATTTCTTTCTTCAGTAGACTGGCACTTGTTAAAACTATAAATATTTCATATTGCTAAATATGTTTCTTCATCAGTCAGTCTAGAATCAATCAAAAATATGAAACTGACTGAGCATCAAGACCTGATTAATGGAAGACGTGATGCTTCAGCTTAATAATGAATAAAAAAGGGAAAATCTACTAGTGTTGTGTTTAGAAAAAAAAGGAAGAAAACGAAAAAGACTATGCTCTTAAGTTAGTAATGATCCTCAAAATATACACAATAATAGTTAAAAACTTGTGTTCGACAGCCGAACTTATCACAATTTGTTGAACATTTTAAAAATTTCACGTGGGAGAGAACTTAAAAGCAACACAGCCCACATCTTAGTCAAACAAACACTCTAGTCCAAAATATAAACATCGAAAAAACAAACCATGTATGCTGTTATCCTGATGTACTAATAAGGTGATTTTATAAATATCAACTATATTTCATATTTCCTCACTGAAAAATATGTATGCCTCATACTTTTTCACATGTCCATATTGCACATAACTCTAATCTGTAATATTACTTACAGTAAAATAACATTTGAATTAACAAATAATTCAACTTTAGATTACATAATCTATACTCCTATGTTAGCAATGCCTCCCGATTTCTTTTATTTTACTATCTTATTTACTATTTTTGGGGGGTGAGTGTGGGAAAATCTACACTATTTCAAGAAGTTCTGCATTGTTCATCTGTTTATCAATATGGTATTATGATAAAATAGTCAAAAACTCAGCTGCATTAAGATCTCTCTTCATCACAGTTATGTCATCAAAATAATTAAAAGTTACTGGTTTCTTTTTGGACTGGCTATATCAACATTTTTGCCTGGGAAGATTTATAACCTTCAGCCATTTCATGAAACAAATGCAATTCTTACTTATTTGTGTCAAAATATATACATCTCATATCTCTTTACATTATCCATATTGGCACTTCCATTTAGTACTTGCCCAGAAAACATTTCAGCTAGAAATGTTTGGTTTGGATCCCTGTACATCACTACAGTCCTTAGCAACATCATGAATTTTCACATGGCTCTGGTTTAAGATGACTTTTGATTTGCATTACCATTTACATATACATAGTAAATAATACCACTCCTGTTTTTCCATGCACTTCCTGAACATACTTCGAAGCTAAAATTTCAATTGTATTTCATGTCCTTTCCTCTCAATTCCCTGTCATCAACAGTAAAATACACCATAGTGAATATGTTGACAGAAAGGTCTATATCAGGCTAAAAAATAAGGATTTTCTCCAAAATATACAAAGCACATTTCTTCATCGCACTCACATTCCATCACAACTTGTGTCCTATGGTCATACATTCTCTCTCTTTAACGTCCACCAGCTTACATCATGCTGCAGCAAGACTGAGTGTCTACCCCACCTATGACCTCTGCTGGGTCTCCACAAAACTTGCGCGGGGTAAGCGACGGGGAGGGAGGTGGTCTGTAGGTTACAGTGTCTACTCTGACAGAGGAGGCTGTGAATTCTGGATTCCTGCCATGTGACCTGGAATCATACTCTGGTGTGGAGAGTGAATAAGTACTGGAAGCTGGGGCCAGTGTGTAAGAGTTTTGGGAAGCTCGCGACATGGCCCGCTGCTTCTTAAGGTCTGCTAGAGTGCCAGGAGAAAACGGGTTGACAGTAACAGTAACATGGATATCTATTTTACTGCCCCCTTCTCCACTGTGAGTGACCATCCCACTCCCATTTACATTTCCACCACTAACAGTCCCAGTTGTAGCTATGATGTCTGGTCTTGAGGTAGAAGAGCTCCGTGGTGGTGGAACAGGTGGGGTTGACACCAACTCTTCTACTTTCTCTTTTTCTTGGCTGTTGGTTTCCCTTCTGTCTCCACCATTTAGTGAACTACTGCCACTGCTGGATCTTGTCACTAACTCCTTTTCTTTCTTTACAACCACAGCTGCAATGAAAATAAACATTTAACTTACTTTAAATTAAAAGAAATGTCGCATCTCTAATTTAACTTATCAAGGCAATTGACACTTGCTATATCAAAACGATGTTGAACTGATTCTTCCCATCTGAATGTTCAGACTAAAAATCAATGTTCCCAAGATTGATCAAGAATCCACAGTAAACCTTAGGCCTTATATCAAGATGTATAAGAACCAATCTCAATAACTCATTATAAAAAAACATCAAATATCCCTTTATTCATTCAATTTCTTTTTTTTTTCCAAGTCCCTCCCGGAAAGGGTACTGAAATCATGATTCACAATCATAAATCCTGAATTTCCTCATACTTCTAATACCAACGTCAATATAAGGTTTCATTATCATCTTAATATTTAACATGTATCACTGTTTTAAAATCTATGCATCAAATATCATAAATATCCAACAGAAAACTGAACATCTCATACCCCAGAATAAAAAAAAATGCAAACCTCTAAAATCGTAGAATCACTTATCAACAATGTTCACTGTCCTTTACCCATTACTCACCAGGTGGGGGTAGCGCTCGGTTTTCCTCCTCTTCGTGGATAGTACTCTCCTTCCCTGTATCTTCTTTCTCCTTCTCCTTGTTCTCCTTCTTTAATTCCTCCTCTTCCTCTTCCACCAAAAAGTTCTCCCTGAAAGTGACAAAAAGAAATAAGCATTTATATCACAATAATCAATTACAAAACACAATTGCATCCCATAAACACAAGCAAACAAGGAAAATTTTTGAAATAATGAATTTCATTACTTTGTAGCATTGTTGTTGTTGTTGATGTTATTCGCAGGAATTACAGCTGGGAATGTGGTTAAAACTGCTGTGTCTCCACGCTCCCTTACAGCACGAAGTCCTCCAAGAGCTGGTGAATCCTCCTGCTGTGGGATAATAATGAATTATGTATATATATGAAATATGTATATATATGTATATGGGCAGAACAACAAATAATATCTATCTATCTATCTATATCTATACATATACATATATATATATATATATATATATTATATATATATATATATATTATATATATATATATATATATATAAGTATAATATATATATATATATATATATATATATATATATATATATATATATATATATATATATATATATATATATATATATATATTATATATATATTATATATATATTATATATATATATATATATATATATATATATATATATATATATATATATATAATATATATAATATATACATATAACATATATAATATATAAAACATATATGATATATATAACATATATGATATATATAACATATATGATATATATAACATATATGATATATATAACATATATGATATATATAACATATATGATATATCATATATGATATATATATATGATATATAATATATGATATATATAACATATATCATGCAGACCATGAAATAAACATACATTTAATGATTAAGTCTACAATCAAAGCATTTTTAAAAATAATCATAATAATAAAATAAAATCTAATTATAGCCAAAATATCCTTCTCAAAAACATTTCTGTAACTTACCAAAGGTTTTTTCTTGTTCTCAAGCTGGAGACGAATTCTAGCTTCCTCTTGGGCTTCTTTCTTTGGTGTTAAGGTCTTCTCGCGAATAGATGTTCGGCGAACAGACTGTGTTCTCGTGTTCGAATGGGCTCGTCGAACCTGTGAGGGTTGGTGACATTTATATCTGATTTGTGAATTACACGTCTAAAATTGGTTAGCAAATAAAAAAGAAAAAAAATCAATCCATGCTAGAAAATTAATTAAAAAACCAAAAAACCAACCATCATGATGTAAACTAAAGATACACAATACAATTACTATGAGCAATGAATAACAAAATTTTCAATGATTCCTGCACCTAACTAAATCAAAAGATAAATATCAACTTACCCTTCTAGTCTGCTCATGAAGTCTCTTTGTTTCCTGTTCATTAATTAGCTGCATAATTCTTTCTCTAAGTTCCGCATCTTCACAGATATCTGAAAGATTTTTTTTCATTTAAAAACTTATCTTGTGACATATCATACTTACCCCTCAGAATACAGATGTATCATTAATATTGAATTACTATAGATGATATTATAAAGACAAACTATTTTTAAGTTTAAAAAAATGAATAACTTAAATAACTAATCTACAAACTACAATATTTCAAACAACACAGAAATCTATAACAGACAAAATAACAATCAATTTCCCAACCCAAAATAACTTACCATATGGAGTTTCCTGGTTTTTGGTCCTTGCATGCAGGTTTGCTCCGTGCTGCATCAGCAGCTCCAACACATCCGGCTATAAGATGTTAAATCATGGTAACATTAATAGTGGTACTGATGACTAACAGAAAAGTAGCTGTATCACAGGCAGATTTATCTTGATATCTGTTGGTTCACTCATGGGTTTAAAATGATTCATGGAAATGGTAAGAGACTGAATTCCTAAAATACAATCATAAGCTATATGAGGGGTAAGCTATCTGCACACAAAGAAACCACTGGATAAAGTTACCTGAACTCAAAGATGCAGGAGCTAAAGAAACCTCATCATTGGGACTAAAAACATATTTGGCATAGAATGTAATTATATATATAGCCTATACAGAAAATCTAGAAGGAGCTGCTAGCACTGCTATATAAGGAAATGTAAACAAAATGCCTGTGAGCATGTCAGTGAGCTATTATCATACAACATTAAAACTTAATGGGAAATTAAGCTGGCTGATCTTTCTTATAAGACCTAGAGAATCTGGCATATCATTCTAAATCTGTAAATACCACATATTCTTCAAGCTTAGTACATCTGCATCAACATAAAAGAATGCAGCTATTAAAGAACTCAGGTAAATCATATATCTACAGTCTATTATATAGTCTAAAGAGTTTGTAGTAGTAAAAAAATATCCCTTTCAAACTTGGAAAATGGCTACCTGTCACAGTGACCTCTTCCACATGGCTGGTTAGAAAAACAGAGAAAGAGCATAAGGAATAACATTGGTCACTTTGACATATCTTTAGTAATGAAATCTGAAACTAAAACAAACAAAAGTAAATATTTCAATACCACAAACACAAGACATCCCCACCCACACAATGCAAATGCACCCACACATTAAAAAAATCAAACAAACAAGCAAAATCACACACATACACACAAACACACACAACACAGAACTCTTAGACTGAATATGAAATCTTGTTATTGAAACAACTCATCTGGCAAAGAGAAAGTGTCACAGTTCAGCTCACTTTCATGTATGGATGTGCGAGTGAGATTTTATACATAATATAATCATAAATATACATACATATATATATATATATATATATATATATATATATATATATATATATATATATATATATATATATATATATATATATATATATATATATACATATATATAAATATAAATATACATATACATAAATGTATATATATATGAATATACAATATATATATATATATATATATATATATATATATATATATATATATATATATATATATATATATATATATATATATATATATATATATATATATATATATATATATATATATATATATATATTACAACTGCACTAGTTAAATCTTAAGCATAATATATTGCTCAACAAAAAACAGAAAAAAAGGACTTTCTACTATTTTTAAATGGTTGGCCAAGCATAACAAGTTACTCCCATCCTGAACCCATGAGGTGAATAAATAAATAACTGGAGAAGTTATTAGTGTCATCATGTGCTTGCTGGAAACATTCCCTCTTATCAACTACTTACCTGAAATGGTAATGTCACTTCTTAAAATACCAGGTGAAAATTTAAAGAAATTAACAAGCACTGTTACACTGCTACTTGCAGAAATAAAAACAAAATGAAAATTAGTGAATATGTCTTCTTGTGAAACATCTAGTTTCACATGGCAGGAAAGACACCAATCTATTTGACAAATTCAGAAAAACAAATAACCCAACCTAAAGCAAATTTTTGATTAATCAAACTCATGTCAAATCCCAGATCTAGGAGCTAAGATGATGAATCAAATGAGCACTTACATGTCCCCAACAAGCTGCTGCATGGAGAGGAGACCAATCATCATGATCCCTTACTTCCGTGGGTACATTCTGACTCAGCAGGTATTCCACCACTCTGACGTAGCCATTGGCCGCAGCTATGTGAAGCTGATGATGAAATAAGGAAGAATCACAATAAAGCAAAACTTCTAAAGGATATAAGTGGATCTTAAGTTATATGGGGCTCATTGTTATAGATAGAATATGTATATATTTTGCCCTATTGATTATAAGAGCTAATACACATAAGCAGGTATGGAAATCAATCTCATAATATAAAATCTTAATTTATCTATATGATATGGAAAAAATTTATATCTACTTACAGGAGTAGCGCCCTGATGATCACGGTACATCAAGCTTTCACCCCTAGCCTTCATTTCTTTTAAATCATTTAACATCTGAGATTCTGTAGCTGAACGAGTCTCATCAATGAGTCGCTGAGTAACACCACGTCGAGCCATCTCGCTTTCTATGTAATCGAGCGTTGCATCGTCTTCACATATATCGTATGGCATATTACCATCTGCATTTACAGCCAGAAGATTTGCACCCCTAGGATGAAAATAACAAGTTTAGAAAAATGCAATACCGAATTAATCAATAGTGAATGCAATCATAATGCATGCACAATAAAGACAATATGACACTTGCTTTGCAATGAGGAACTTGGCAAGGTGAAGATGTCCACAAGTGGCTGCTGCATGGAGTGGTGTCCACTTCTCTGAGTCTTGTGCATTGACATTAGCCCCATGGTGGACAAGCAGCCTCATCATTTCCTCAGAATCGTCAATACAACACTGATGCAAAGCGGTTAGTCCATCCTCATTAGTAGAGTCTGGATCCACATTTGCTTCCAGCAGTGCCTGCACTGTTAAAAGAAAAGAAAATTTATCAGGACAGAGCTCTAATGAAAAATCCATGATACTGGGATGAGGCCTTCTGATACAAAACCTAAACAGTGACAGCATTCATGCTTTCTTTTTCTGAAAATGAGAGCACACACATAGACTTAAGGGCATACACATTCAAATCTTATTTGCATCGGGTAAAATCTTTTATTTCTTTAACTCTTGATTATTTTCGAATCATTCTCATTATCATTATTGACATTGCATACACCCTTGCTATATTGTCCCATCTCTCAAACAGATTAATGGATATGCAATTAATATTTTTTTAATGAAGAAAAACAATATTGGTAAAACAACATGTTCTGAAAATCTAAAACAAATTCTGATAACTTTGCCTCACATCAGCTGATCAACAGCACAGCAGCAAAGGGACAATACTGACACATTTCAAGTAAGGAGAATCAATATGGAAAAAGTAAGAAATACATCAAAAGACAAGCATGTACTCTTCCAAGCTGTACTACAAAATGATGCATAACAGAATATATCTAAGGTTTAGAATTTATTTATATATTCATCTATTTTCTTTCTTTATCTATTTGATCTTTAAGAGAAAAGTGTGTAAAAGAATAACTAATTGAGATGTATGCTTGCCTGACATTCTGGAAAAAGTAATTTTTAAAATCTGTTAAAAAGTTTCTGATTAACACTAATGAATAGTGATAAAACACAACAATTTCAATGTGATAGTTTGACAACTAATTACGTGATAAAGTACACATATCTGGGATGATGAACAATGGACTGACTAAACAATAACAACTGATCATAATCATAACAATAAAAACAATAGTTAAAGTAGTAGGAATAACAGATTTAAGAACAATCATCATCATCATCTCTATAGAGGCACACTTTCTTCCTAGCTCCTGTCTACAATCTTTTTCTCTCGTGGGTGCAGGTGTGCATCTTTATATCTGCAAGGGTCTGTTAAAAAGTCTGACATGTTACAGCAACAAGCTTGGACAGACCAAAATTTACTAGTGCCATGTAGGGAAACTGTATTGCACATTTCACCAAGACAGTGGAAAACAAAGAAGTTTATGCTATCTTCCCTAGTTCCTATCAGCTATCAGTCTTTTCTCTTCCTCACCACCACTACCCTGAGCCAAATGGTTAGATCCTACAACAGAGTGGAAGGCAGATAGAAGTTTCAGCCGTCTAGACTAAGAGCACTGTACTCCATCCATTAAGCTCCTGAAGTCATGATCTGACACAAATGCGTTTTAATAAATGTAAAACAAAACGGTATGAAGGAATACATAGGAACCACATATTCTGAGGATAAGTCTCAACTATTGGGGATGGGAGGTGCTGTGTGATAGCTCACACCAAGTTATCATTAACTCATTGGGAAGAATGCAGAGGACCATCCCATCCCTGTTAAGTACACACTGGGTACACTGATTGAGGTATTTCCCATTCAAGGAGCACCTAGTATTGAACACTACCACAGACATGAGTATGGTGAACATCAACATCCTGGCAACTGGTGAAGCAACAAACATCATATAAACAATAAAAAACACTGGCCCTAACCCCTAAATGGAGTTTAGCAGACAGAAAATAAAGATCAAAAGAAGAAAATGCACAGGGATGTTAATCATATAAAACATTCCTCAAATAAGTCCCAAAAGGATATGAGGAAGAGTATCTCCTAGTCAAGAAATGTGATTCCATAAATATCCATCTGGTTGCTAAACCAAAGCAGCAGCATATAAAAACAGGGGAAAGCTTAACTGGGGTTATATAGGCACCTGATGCTAACAATAAGTAAACATCAGGTCCTTAATCATATTGATGAAGCTGAGGGCAATGCCTTAGCTACACTGGCTATGTCTTGATTCTCTTGAAGTATCTGCATGAGAATGGTCCATGAACAAACTGTATGGGGTCCACTGGCCAAAGATCAATAGATCAGAGTGCTAGGAGAGTCAAAGCAAAAGCCCACACCTGATGAGTAATGTAAGTATGTTACATGATGTCCAATTCACTAATCCTTTTTAATATCATGGAAATGTGAGAAGAGGAACACTACCACCAGGGGTCTGGCTACACCAACAGGCCAGCTGTTGGCATCACATCTGAAGCAAAAATCAACTACAACCTTAGGCTCCACACGTCCTAAATATATAAATCTAACAACAAACCTGATGGAGTGCAAGAGAACTGGGAACAACAAAGCCCAGCCGAAAAGAATTGCCAAGAACACTGTCACATGAAGGATAGTCATTGAGGAAGGATTTTCCATGAACCGTATGAATGCACGCAAGAAACGTGCTATGTCTTGAAGGGCAATGACGTAAGAGTGAAGTGCAAGAGATTGACCTAATGTCAGCAGAGGAAATACACCCATGTAAATATAAGGATGTCATAAAACTCATCATTGACCCACCTTGTAGGATCATCCTAAAGAACAAGGAAAGGAAAAAAAAAGTGCAACATTGACAGCATTCCACAAAGGAACTATAACAAAAATGTGTCCTTAAGAAGCTCCTCAGCTTGTTAACCAACTGTGACATGAGGGTAGTCTATGGTGACATGTAGTAAGAGAATTACTTCATTGTCTACGGTCTTGATAAAATGCACTATGCATTATATTCACCTGTCATATTTCACTTTTGGTCAGTCAATACTAAGTTTGGATGTCCCAGGATTTTGTGTTTAACCTCAAGGACTGGTATAACTTCTTTTTTATCAATTAGGTTTTAATTTATCTGTTGAAACTACTGTTATGTCTTTCCTGTATATTTGACCCAAAGCAAGGGGTAACAAGTCCATTGTCATATTAGCCTAGTGGACCTCTTGGCCTATTTTTGCTATTGTTTAACTTTGGTCCATGGATTACACTAACTAAAAAAAGCAAACTTCACACATTTATCCTTTACAACTGGAAACTTTGGTATAAAAATTGCCGACCTGATATGAATAAGGTATAAAACATACAAATATATTTATTTAGACACCTAAAAACAGATATATAGTCTATAAAACCAAATTAAAGGGATTTTTAAAAACTGACTGTGACATAAGACAGGTAAACGTTTGCATCAGGACTGCACCCATCAGTGGATAAGTCCTCAACCTGAACAAAAGATTGCCTGAACCCCATCCCAAATGCACAAACTACTGCACAGATTTTTGTGTGAACAAAAAACTACCCTATTCCAGGGGCTTCACCACAGACCCCTTGCTAACTGTCATTATGTTTGAAACAGTTGGCAAGTAAAAGAAAAACTGAAAAGGACAGTATCTTATACTTGAAAACAATTAGCAAATAAATGCTTAACAGAAAAAAAGAAGAGAAAAATAATAACAAAAAACAAAAAGCCTGAAAAGAATATACTGAATTTCCTAACATGCACTGTACAGATGA